AGCTTCACAAATATCTGAAAATTTCATACTCTTGTCCCCAAACGAATTCGACACCGTTGTCTTCATCGTCTCTCACAATAGTTTTACAGCCTTCACCTCATCTGAAAAAATGATATACATTGACTCCAACTTGTTCATCAGATCAGCGACCTCGTTTGTGTGGGAGTTCACTAAAGTACCCCTCCTCCATATGAATGTTGAAGTATCTCGTAATTAGATACACCTTACTGTTGGCAGCGCCTTCATTAGTCCCATTGTCGTTTTCTGACCTCGCTACAAAATTGCCATATTTATTGACAAGCACAACCTGATGATCGTTACGGTTTGTTCATCCATCTCCGCCCATTCCTTGTTTGTCATCACAGCCTGTCCTTTCTTCAAGGTTTTGTGTATCTTCTTGTATGTAAGAAGATTCGTCACTTGCATCTTCTAAAACCCGAAAATTTCTCCATCAAATCTCAAAACCTCCTCGAATTAGTGACGATGTGACTTTTCACTGGATCCCATGATACTATGACCTAAGCCTATAATACCACTTGTTGGGAAAATTTACTTACCAATAATATTTTCTCCTTCCACATTCGTCAGTGAAAATAAATCAACTACAATAATAAGAGAAAAACAGGGAAAGCACATAAACGACACCAAATTTATACTAGTTCACCCAACCACGGGCTACATCCAATCTTCCGTTCAGATGCCGGTTCTACTATGATTATGCGATAAATAATGGGCAATAAAAATCTCTCAAATCTAGAGGTCTTGACAAAAGCCACCTAGCTTACCCGTTAAACGAAAGCTGGAGTTCTAATTATTTAGGATTTTAGTGATTCATAGACGTGTGTACATGCTAGCCTAAGCTTCTAAACAAATCAAAAGCGGTATCGAATAAGAGTCAAACCAATTTGCATAAAGTAAGCAAAAATGTGTCTGGCGCATTTGGTAGGTGTAACTAATATTTTTAAAACTAAGCAGTAGTATCGGGTTGCCTTTTTAACTTCTATTTTCTTGGTATTTTTAAATTGTGTTCCCAACAATTTCAACTATTTTTATCCTAAATTTGATTGCTCATTCAAGCGATTTGCAAATTTATTTGAAAACAAAACTAGTACGAACTTAGAATACTTCTATATTATTACTTGTGATAGTGTGCACTTGTACCCTACCCTCTATCTACTAAGCAGAGGCGCAACACGAGGCATTAAATTTGGGCAAATTCCCACTTGGATTAGTAAGAGTGGATGTTATGATGTCTATATGCTGATATACCACAAATATATGTCTGATATAAACTTCTAATATGATTATTTGATTATGATGTACTTGGAATATGTATGGTGCTGATCTACCTTATTGATTTTCCTTTGATCTACGATATTGATATAACTATGATATATGTGTGTTGATATACCACTGATTTATGTCTGATACATACTTCTAATATGATTACATGATTCTGACATACCTCTAAGATACCTACAATATGTATGTCCTAATCTACCAATTATTTACTATTAATTTACCATTGGTTTACTATTTATTTACCTTATTGATACACTTTATGAAATATTACGTACTATTGATTTACTAGTGATATACCATTATTGATTAATATATATTCACTATTTTTTTCCAGGTTGAAACAAGGATGCAAACAAGTAAAAAGAAAGCTAAAATTAAAGCATACAAGGTTGATGTTGAGTATGCAGGTTCAAAAGAACATATTAAGCCAACACCAAAGGTCTAATCTTTACAAAAATAAAAAACCAAGATATCGCCCCCAAAGATAGGGCAATCTCCAAGAAACATGGTTGATAATAATGAACCTAGTTTTGACTTAAAGATTTCTGAAATATAATGAAAACTTGTATTTTAATACAATATCATTTAGCTTTTTATATTCCTATTATAATATAACGTCTTTTAGATTTAAAACGTATATTTAAAACTTTTATCTATTTCTAGTTTTTTATGTTCGTATTATAATACAATATATTTTAGATTTTGAATATATGACAATGAATTTGTTTATATGTAAACCACTTTCTATTAATCTTATGTTTGCTAATTTGTTGAATAATATCAATGTGTCCCCCCTATTCATCACCACATAAGTGATTAGGGTTTGTTTGATAACCATTTCGGACCTGTTTGATAACCTTTTCGTTTTTTGTTTTTGGTTTTTAGTTTTCAGTTTTTAAAAAACAGAGTTGTTTGATAACCAATTTAATTTTCAGTTTTTTATTTTTTAAAAATCATTTTGAAATTCTAAGTAAATTAAAAAAAAAAGTGGTTTTCAAATACAGGTTTCTGTTTTTTAAAATCTCATTTTTCTTCTAATACAACTTTTTTTTTCTTTCTCATATTTATCTCTAAAAAATTATTTTTCACTCTAATTTTTTTATTTCTAAATTTCTCTCTACAAACTTTATTTTTCTCTCTAAAATTTTCGTATTTTGAATATTTATTGTTATTTGTCTCTCTCCAAATTTTTTATCTATTTTTGTTTTTTTTCTAACAGACTAGTTTCATTTCTCTCTCTAAAAATTTAATATTTTTCCTAATTTTTTCCTATCTAAAATTTCATATTTTAAAATTTTTCTTTGTAATCTATTTTTTCTTCTAAAAATTATATTTTATTTTCCTGTTTAATTTTCTTAACTTTTATTTATCTTTGTATTTATTTATTTTTTATGAAAATTATATTTTGAATCTTGTTTTTACCTATAAATTTGTTTCCACTATAATTTTTCTCTTTTTTTTATAATTTCTCTYTTTTTCTTTAACATATCTTTTCCTCTCGACTTTAATTTCTTTTCTCTAAAATTTTCTCTTTTTGACTTTAACTTTTCTTTCACTATTTTTTTTCTAAATCTTTTTATTTATCCCTATAAAATTTATCTTCCAAAAATTTATTTACATCTCTCTAAACGTGTATTTTCATGTCTCTACATTTGTGGGATGACAAAAATTTCTGCAGGGTCAGGTCTCAAAAATTGAAATGCATGTCCCAACCCCGTCCTCATCCCCGATTCCATTTTTTAAATAATTAATATATATTTATTACACTTTTTTTATACTTCAATTCTAAAAACAATTAAAAAACCAATAATTTTTCTCGAGAACATTTCTCGGACCCAAGAACGAGGTGGAGACGGAGACTAAAAATTTTCACAAGTACGAGAATGGGAGAGCATCCTCACTCGTACTCACACCATTGTCATCTCTAATCTACATAAAATTTTCTCTCTCTAATATGTATTTTCAATTGTCTAACATTTTAAAAACAAAAATCTAAAAATGGTTACCAAACATGTTTTGGTTTTTTGTTCTTAAAAACAAAAAACAAAAAATGATTATCAAACATATATGGATTTAAAAAAAAAACCAAAAACTAAAAACCAAAAACTAAAAACTAAAAACTAAAAACAAGAAAAACCAAAAACCAAAAACTAAAATGGTTATCAAACAAGCCTTAGTAATTTTTCAAATTTTGAATTCCCTCCCCATGCTTAACATGTTGTTTTTCTACTGATATATCACTAATATATGTCTGATATATGTTATTGATATACTTCTTATATTATTCTCTGATTTTCGTATACGTATGATATACTTACGATATACCTGTTATATGTATTTGTTGATTCACCCTATTGATTATATTCATCTACCATGTTGATATAAAATGTAATTTTCGTCACTAAAAGTACCCTATTGTGACAAACTTTGATTTGTCGCCAATATTTTGTCTAAAAATTGTCAAATTAGACGAAGCTTTTGGCGACGAATTATAATTTCATTACCATACGGTAATTTTGGCGATGACTATTACATTTCGTCGCCAAAAGTATCCTATGATGACGAAATTTCAATTCGTCACCAAAAGTTTCGCTGGCAAAAAAAAATTCTTGTAGTGTGTGCTAATATAGTGGTGATGTAACACTGATATATCTTCGATGATATATCTGCAATATGGATGTGTTGATGAATGGTAAAATTAGAATTATAAAAATTTCAAAAATAAAAATTCAAATTTTTTGCTTGCAAAATTCAAAAGGCGTTTACATTTTTGCAAATATGGGTAAATCTGTTGCCACCCATTGCAAATTCTTTAAAAGTCTACCATAAATATTCATAATTATAAATGAAAACAATTATACATATAAATTAAAAAAAATACTTCATATTATAATTTAGAAAACTTCAATAATTATAACTCAACTTCACTCCCCCCAACTACTTGCCCCCAAACACCCCTAAGAATTTTGCAATTTCAAAAGTTTCTCTTAATTTAATTGATCCATAAGTGATTTTATGGGCTCTTAATTGTACATTTAGACCTAGAAGATACGAGCTTTCAAATAACAAAAAGTTTAGTTAAATTCTAATTCATTAACCTAGAGTTACTCTATTAAAAAATCAAGAGTTCCACTCTCATACAGTATAGAATTAATTACGTCTAGAAATATGACTATGACATGTAAGTCAACTCTTCACAGGATTTGTATTTACAACTACGCAAAAGTCTTATAATTAAAATAGGTCTCTCTCTAGTTGAAGAATGGGTGAGCGGGAGAGGCGCAATCACGATTTCCCTTTTAGCTTACTAGATTAGTTGTCGAGTTTGATAGAGTTGGAAGTATATGAACTTGAAGATCATAAATGCTTAAAGAACAATGAGCTAGTAAACTAATCACGACAATGACAATATTTTTTATAACAAGTGAGGGACGAACTCACGACCCATAAAAAAAAGGTCCTAAATACTTAAGCAATTAAAACTATGCTCAAGTTAACCAGCACAAACTAATAACAACATTCAATTTCCCTTAAAAAAAGGTACTTGATTATGGTTTTTTTTTTCCATTTGATAAGTAAAGAAAATATCAAATGGAAATAAAAAGCAAGAGGGCGCACACAATGACTAAGGTTCATTTCCATCTCTTTTCCCTTTCAATTTTCCATTACCAACACAAGAAGGGAAGATAAGAGATGGGTAAAAGAACCTAAGCTGTTACAATTAAGAAAATTAGCCTAAAATACAGAAATTAACCAAAAGACAAACAAATAATATGCATTAATTTTAGGCCCATCCACCTATTTTCTCTTCTTTTTCTCCTCTGTCTTTGCTTCTTTACCTGCAATAAGGCCAACCATTGATCAGGTAAAACAGGTTGAAATTACCAAAAAAGTGTTAAGTTTTGGGTGCACTCATTTTCCTTACCCTTTTTTTGTTCTTTTTTGTTCTTTTTTTTTTTCTTTTTAATTCACTATACATTATGTAGGTGGAAATTCAACTTTCTACAAAAAGAAGTTCAAAATATTTTCAGATGAGAATGTACAAATTACAATGATAGCCACTCAAAGAAATAAAAAGTCAGAAACAAATTAAGACCCACATTATGTTAAAAATATAAAAGTAATAATATGTTCAAAAAGTGCATTTTGTTTAAAACTCTCCCTATGCTTTGATCATTGGATGTGTTTCCATTTAATCTTCATAACACCATTTTTATTTTGTGTATATATATATTATGTAATTTGTGCAATATCGATATCAAGATTTTATTTTTACGGATATGTCGATGACATATATTAATAAAATATCGATATCAACGAATATTCCTGAAAACAGGAGTTATAAAATATTTTATTCATATCAATAATGAATTGAAGATACTTTTTCTATTTCATATATATTTATACCAGATATTGGAGATACCGATTAATACTTAATATCAATGTCGAACCTTCCAATTTAACGATGTTAAACCACATTTGGGAGAGAAGAGAGTACCAGAAGAAATTGTTGAGATGAGTTTGAGCTTCTGAGTCTTCAGAATCATGGGAGGGAGAATGTACATGTCTTCCTTCATAAGTTGTTATCACCATTCTTGGATCCTCAGCCAATCTCTCTACTCGTTTCTTTACTCGACAGTGATCTTGCGTACAACGATAGTAGCTTCTGCATTATTCGAGAAACGAGCGAAAAACGACCAGTTAGCGGGAGAAAAAACATATACATAATCCATAATTCATGATGTCTTTCTTTATTTTAGCTCAAAGTCGAAGATAAGTAATGTCTCGATGAGATAAATCAGCCAATTGTAAAGTAATGGTAAAGATGGCTTGGATTTGCCTCTAAAAAAGTAAGCAAATGAATCAAAGTTTTTGGTTTTTTTGAAACTTCATCATTAGTTATTACTTCTTTAGTTTTGATGATCCTAATTAATTTCCCTTTTTTAATATGTTTTTGAAAGCTTATAATTACTTCTTTCTGCCCCCCATCTCTGTAATAATGATGACAACATCAAAATTTGAATCTGCTAAACAGATAGAGAGAGAGAGAGAAAGCATCAAATCAGTAACATCTACGCGTGAGAGAGATGTTCTGTAGAATCCAAATCCAAAAGTTGAAATTTTCTGTAAAGAAAAATGATGTTAAAAGCAAAAAGAGAGAAGAGAGAGAGTGTTTTAAAAAATATATATATATAACTCGCATAACTCTTTAACTATTTATCCCAACAATCCGAGTAGTTCATTTCTATTATAAACATACTCTCAAGATAGTGGCAGCTCATCAATCTTGGCAAAATCTCATTTTTAGACCAAAGAAGTGACTCATTTCTATTATAAATTTTTGTTAGATTCTTTCAATGTAAGATTCTTAACAAATATGTGTGACAGTTCCTATGTCGCTCCTAATTGGGCTAGAGAGATGGTAAAAAGTAAAAAATTGTTTAATTTTTACCTGGGATGGTGTGTGTTTTTGACCACTTTCTGGCCGTACTTGCGCCATTTGTAACCATCATCAAGAACATCCACATCGCTCATTGTCTTGAAGGAAAACCTTGGCTCTCTCACCTTTCTCCTCCCTTTCATCTTCTTCATCTTCATTGCACTCACTCCCAAGTGATGATGATGGTGATACTCATTCCCATTTCCCCCATTCACTCTCTTCCCACTCATCAAGCTCTCTCCAACCTCCCCCCAGGGCCTGAAAAACAAAATGAAAACAATCGAACGTAAGTTTAACCTAATAGGCTATGATATATATTTGAACGAAATCACACGTACGAGATTTGAAGACATCATCACTAAATTCATCATCACTAAATTCAAAAGCTTAAATGGATAGATTACTATAAATTATTCTAAACAAATGAAATATTAACTAGAGAAAAAAATGACACAACTCAAGTTCAAACAACATATATAGCATCTCGTTCTCAATTAAAACATAGCTTAACGGATTAAGACATATACATGCATCCAACCATGAGGTTGAGAGTTCGAATCCTCATCCCCACATGTTGTACTAAAAAAACATATCTCATTGCTCTAACATCATAAAATTAAATCGCCAATAAACTCAAAAGTGTAACTGGTTGATAGGTTACGATATATTTCAACACAAATAGAACGTTATTTAATTAGAGAAGAGAAATGACTCTACAAAAGTCTGAACACATAACACACCGAGAATCTTAATTCGTTTGATAGGTTACCAAGAGAAGAAACGATGCAACTGGAGTTCAAAAACAAAACCTCCTACCAACTATGATCCACATTAAATCAACGCTAGACTCAAAAATCGTGTAGTAAATCACCTATCCATCTTCTTCACTATCATTCAAAAACCTAAAATTGTGACACAAAGTTGAAAACCCACCATAGATTTGCATTAGATGTTTGCAAGGAGAGGAGATGGTGAGCCACAAACTGAGAGGAGGGGCAGTGGTGATCTCTCTGCTTGGGAGCTGGCAAAAGAGAAGAAGAAGAAAGAAGGGTTTCAGCAGTGCAGAAATTAGGAGCCTCAAATGGCGGCGAATTAGGAGAGCTGTTGTTCATGGCCGCCATTGAAGGAACCTGCACAAACGTCAAGTTTGAAGAAGGCAAGAAAGTGCTGAAGAAACCCATTTGAGAAGAATTTTGATCTGCTTCTTCATCTTCAAACAAAACTTGTGGGTTCAGCAGCACTTGGGATTTGGAAGCCATTTCTCTTTCTCTTCTCTCTCAAAACACAAGTAAAGAAAAGGGGAAAAAAGGGTTGGATTTGAAGGATGAGAAAAATGAGTTTTTTTTTTTTTTTTTTGGAATTTTGAATAGGTGACAAAAAGAATAATAATTAATTTGGCTATATTTTATGTGTGTATAGGAGAAAAGCTAGATCCTTTCCTTTACGTATGTGCCCCCCCTCCAACTACTTTCCCTTTTTCTTTTTGCCATTTATTTTCTTTCTTTTCCCTTTTTAACTTGTCAGAATTTGGGAGGTAGAGAGTGAAAGTTGTGTAAAAAAGGAAAACAATTTTCCTTGTTTGTTTAATGAACTTTATTTATTTATTTCGTGTTGTGATTCTTGAACTTTTGATGGGGAGGAAAATACTAATTTGATTAGTTTGTATCGTTAATCTTTAGTTATTTATATAAGGAGAACGTAAGACGGTTGGGAGATCCAACACTTAACTTTATGTGGCTTCGAATACTTGTCAATGTAGTTGTTTATTGATCGGGAGTGAAAAAATATTTTGCTCATTTATTTTTACTTAATCTAAATGGATTCTTATCACATTGTGTCAAACCATCAATGGCTAATCTATCCAGCATCTAGTATACTAGTTAGTTGCCAACAAGTTATGTTCAAATAAAATTTTCTTTTTCCAACCCCATTATCAAAATGTAGGTGAGAAACATATAATATAGGAGGCTAAGTGAAAGCACAAGAGAAATAATATAAATGTTATAATTACAAAATAATGTTGATTTTGAAGACTAACAAGAGGCTGAAATTTTGATATCATCTCATAAAATCGTCCGCAAATATGAAAGCTTCTGATAAGAGACAATTGTTTCTCCCCAACTAGATGAACCATAAAATAGAACTGAAATCATTGCACCATAGCAGTCGTTTCTACTATTGGAAAGTGAAATGTTGATACATTCTGAAATAAAATCTTCAACTATGGCAAGAAGCACCGTGGAGATATTTAAAATGTCAGGCAAACGTACCCGTATGGACTTGGAGAAATGGGTGTAGAGTGAGGGCACTGGAAAAATGGGTGGTCCAAAGATTCGCTATTCTGATTGTGGAGTATACATGTCTCAAGACTCATAGACATAGGTAAATACGTAGCTTGCAATTTATCATGAAAATTTATACATTATCCAAGTTTTTATACAACCTCATTTTCGGTGAACGGCAACCCTAACTATATCGGTCTTAAGAAGTTTATTCCTACTTTCAACCTGCCAATAGAAAATTTGAGTATGATACAATTGGAGATCAATAGCATTATTCACTTGTTTCCTCTTATTTACATGCCCAAAAACACAAGGGAGAGTGGAAAAGACCAGAAGAAAACATTCACTCATTCATTCACTATTCAACAAAATAAAATAATAATAAATTTGGAGACAGAAAAAGAAAAAGAAAAAGGAATGTAGTGAGAGGTGACTACATAGAGTTTTGAGGATTAAAACTGAAGTTGATGCTTTGGATATTTTGGACCTATTGTGACTGTTTTCCCACACCTCAAAAGCATCAAAACTCTGTCTTTTTAGGGTTAGTGGAAATTTCACTGTTTTAATTTGAAGGTCAACTATAAACGACAATTCACATAGAGACACGACAGACAGTGTGGAGAACATACAACTGTTTAACTAACGACAGTAGTGTGTGTGTGTGTGAGAGCTATTTTATTATAAAATTTCATGTCTTGGGTGCACCAAAAATTCAAACTTTTTAATTGCCCAACAGGTAATGAAAGGAGCCAGTGATGGCCTTTGCCCTCAAGGTCCTACATGTGCTCAAATACTTTACAAATATTTGCAAAATGATAATAATATTAGAAAAGCAAGAGATAAAAAAATAATGCAAAAATTTTTGTAGAAAGAAATATATTTAAAGTTCTAAACTTTTTTTTATCTTGTAAATCTTGAAAGCTCTTATGTTTAAGCTAATTGTCTAATCCAACTACATTTTACAGATAAACACATCAGAAATTAATTCTTAGATAAGTGGTCAGCGTGGGGTTGTGAACCCATTCCTCTTAATTCTTTTGATTTACCTTGGCCTCTTTGGACCAATATGAACTACTCATTATGATTCGAAGGCTCTTGTACCTGCTTCTTTTGGTGGTATGTTTCCTAGCATACTTTAAATAAAGTGATTTCTTCTCTTAAAAAAAACTTTTATTTTCAGTTTCAAAACATAACTCGAAATTGTAGTATTAATTAGTGCCTCCTTATAAGTCACAGCTAGGTTTGAAGAATAATCTACCTCGAAGAAATAAATGTTTTCTATTTTTTTTTAAATTGCAATCGAGTATGGTATAAGATTGATATGTATATTAGGAAATTACTATTTTTTTCTTTCTTTTTTTTTTAGGATTCTAATCTCTTGTGGAAGATATAAGTCTTAATATATTCAAGTTCGCTAGGATAAAAATCCCTATTTACAAACTGTATAATACATATGGTTAAGAAAATCTAATTATCCATGTAAAAAGGAAAAAAAAAAAACTTCTTTTGGGAAGAGATAAGTTTATTATTATTTTTGGCTAAAGGGTATGATTTTTTTTTCCTTTTTCAAAAGACCCTTTAGAAAAGAAATACAAACTAGGAGTGATAGAAGTATTAATTAATTAAGCACAAAATAACTTGTAAAAATTGTAGAAATTTCTTTTTCATAGCACAATTTTGTAAAAAATAATATATGTACATGCCCATAAACTAGATTTCCAATGGAATAAAATATTTTGATCTATGTTCATAATTCTAATTTTGTTCCATTTTGTAGGGTTTCTTTTGGGCACTAGAAAGAAAAATGTTACATATAGGGGCAATGATGATGAATCTTGGGTGCAAATCTCTTCCCTCTGCATCACCAGTGAAGTTATATATCATTATGATTCATATATAAAAAGATTTTCCCAATCCCCATTTGACTTTTTTGTTTTTTTTTTCTTTTTTGGAATTTCTTTTTGGCATAAAATATAAAAAGTTCATTACCTTTTGCCTGCCCAAATTCTTTCTTTTCATTTTCTTTCAATTTTTTTTTTTTATTTTTTTTTTACACCCTCAAACAAAGCCACCCCCACATCCACCCACCATTCTCAAATTTCAAACCAAACCCATAACATTATTATCATTTTTGTTGCATTACTTTTTCATATGTTTCATTTTGAATATTATTATATATTTGGTGAAAATATAATTGCTAGGTTTTAAATTATTTTCACATAATTCACACATAATTATGAAAATGATTATTCCCATTGATGGAGCAAAAAGCTCTAATATGGTTGTAAAGTAATGGGTATCCCAAACATGATGCTTGAAAATCATTAGTAATAATTTCAAACCCCAAAAAATAAAAAAGGAAAATATTGCAATCTTTTAGGTAAAGATCTTTAAGCCTATGATCAATCCAATTAAGATGTAATGAAAGCTATGCTTTATAACCACCAATTAATTAGACAATCTCTTGCAATAGTAAGAATCTTTAAAATATTTATGGTAGTAAAGATATGTATTTCATTTGAAAAATGAGTTTTCAATTATTTTTTAAAAAATAAGTCATTTTGTAAATTAGAAAAAGCTGAATTTACTCATAATTTATTATTTTCCTAATCTACTTCTCTAACATGTGTCCTAAATTTATATTATGATATTATATTATGCTTTTAGAGTTAATAAATAAAAAAAAAGCAATTTTTCATTGGATAAACCTCCTTTCTAAATAACTTTCAAAATGTAATTTGCAAATTCCTCAAAAAAAAATTGTAATTTGCAAAATGCTGTTTTTTAAAAATAATAATCCTTTCATTTTTAACATTTTTTATTAATGGTTGAATTATAGATTTTATAATTTATCTAAATTTATATTATGATATTTATAATTATTAATGATTTTGTCCTTAAACTTAATTGGTTAAGATATTAATTATAAACTAAGAGAATATTCAATTCTACCCTAACTTTTGTTTAAGCTAAAAATGAGAGAGAGTTATTTCGGACCTTTACACCCACGTCAACATAAGAGTTTTTATACTTATTTTAACATATCTTTTTATTGGATTAAATATATTAATATGGAGGATCAAATTATTTCTTAATTATAGTTTAAATGGAAGGTAGCAAATAGGATGAGATAATGTTAATTAAATTATCATTTTAGTCGCGGTAATTTATTCTTATTTTTTATTGTAATTTATTCTTGTTTTTAATTTGAAAGTAATTTTATTGTGTGACACGTGTAAGAAGACCTGAATGTCAATTCGTCATCTCTATATAATATTTTAAATGTAATTAGAGTGTCCATAAATTTAGCCAAGAAAATAGGGTTTGCATATTAAAATGAAGAAAAATGTTAAAAATTAGGGTTTTGAGGAGAGGGAAGAGTTGCTTGCGTCAAGCTAACGGGTCTATGACGTCACATTGTTTACGTACCATAAAGACCAAAGTAATAATAATGCCTAATACAAAGTTCTTTAGAAAAACCTTTTCAAAAATTTTATAACAAAATAAATAAATTTAAAAAAAAACCTTCAGAACAGAAACCATTTCCCCTTTTGTCTTTGTGCATAGATGCCCATTATCTTATTTTATCACTTTCTACCTCTTCTCTCTCTTTCATTTTTCTTTTTCCTTTTCTTGGTTTGAATCGGTGTGACGTGAGTTATGCTAGTGAATTTCTATAACGTGATTTATTGTTGAGCTAAAATGTGATCGGTGCATGGCTCGAACACAAGGGTATTTCTTTGTTTTTTCCTTCCCTATTAATTTCTTATCTCAATTTTGTAATAACCATTTCATTTTTTTAATTCTTGAAATTTATACTTTTTTCCATAATTTTTTGAAGTATGCTTTCACATTTACTAAAAATAGACATTTAAGTTAATAAGTATTAATTTAGATACTGAATGCAATCAACAGAACATCACATCAGTATTAAAATTTTGTACACAAACAAAAATTTAGTTAGGAGACAAAAGCATACGTGGCACTTAC